CAGAGACCACGTAGAGATTAAATAGATGAGATATAGGTGTAGAAGTGAATGTGTGTTCTGGAAAAAAAAACATACCACATACACCCTGTTAGCTTAAGAAAAATACTTTAAAATGCTGCAATATTTTGGTCCTCAATACTTATATTTAAAAACTTAAAGCTCGGCACCTAAACCCAATATATCACACTTCCCTGCCCTGCTCTTCCTCACCCCTCCCAAACTGTAAAATGTCTCTTCACCCAGCACTTTCTATCTTAATGTCAGCTGCCTTAATCTCAGAATGCCAATGTACTTCTGAGACATTATCTTAGTAATCCTCTTAAGAGAGCGGATTCAGGAGCCAGATATCCTCCTGATATTCAAACATCTTTTGAGTCAGCCAGGTAAGAAAGATAATTCCTTTGAACATCTGCAGCATTTGTCTACATCAGAGCTTTCAAATACTTTCTGGAATTATCTAATTATCCCTTTCAATATCTCTTGTGGGGAAGCCAGCAGGAGATAACACTGCCCGTATTATTTTTTTAAAGGGGTAGACCTAATGATTTAGTCTACAACAAGGGGACTCGGCCTGGCCCTGGCGCTACCTCCTCTAGAAAGGACTATCTTATTGTAAAGAGAAGACAATAGTGTCTGGAAATGGTATTCTCTCAAATTAAAGGTTACCGGTGGCAGATTTGCATCACAAGTGCCTCCAAATAGATGCAGTTTTTATTTGAATCACTGCTTCTCCTCCTCCTCTTGGCAGGTTATAACCATCTCCCTGGTATAGCTCAGAGCTTGTTCTCCAGACCACCAATTTTGTGAGAAATTCCTGGAGAAAACATTGCCAAATAGTTTGAGGGCACAGAACAAATATCAACCTTCCTTTTAACGAGTCCTTTACCAGAGTAGCATTAGCAAAAAGACCTAATTTGACACAGAAGCCCTTGTAACAGCTTTGAGCTCCTTGCAAATAAGATTGTGTGAAAATAGTGAAGAAACATCAGCCCAGATGTTTCTCTTCTTTCATATTTCCTTATTCAGGAAGCAAAATTTCTGGGCAGTACCATTTATACAATGATATCACTAAGTAATAGAATCAAGCACTTGCTTTTCGAGATGTTGGGTTCTGTTTTCCCTGCCTGGTACATTATCTTGGATCACTTTAGCTTATCTGTGTACTAAGTAGTATTATTACTCCCACTTGACTGAAGAAACTGAGGCTGATAGAGGAAGCTGTAAATATAGGCATGGCCAGCCCTAGCTCACCCCAATATATCTCTATACTTCCCCTTGATAAACACAGTCAGTTTCAGGGCTTTAAAATGATCTTTATCTAAGGGTCCAAAATTATACCTCCAACCTTGACCACTTGATCTACTGACTTTCATTTAACCAACCAACCAAAGGCCTTTAGCTTCACATACTTTTTCATCTATTTCTTCTCTTCTTCAAGAGATAAAATATAAGGGAATTAGGTCACCAGAGAAAGGGTTCATTGGACCTTTATTTTAACCTGACCCTGGGCTTCATGAGCCACAAAACTTTAACGATATTTCCTTTCTGTTTTAGCCAACTCAAAAAATTGAAATCACCCTAATTCCTTACATAAGAAATTTTTTCCTTTCAATTGGTGAACCCTATATAGTTTTTCAATTTTTTTCTAACGGATTGCATATAATCTTAGTCTTTCAGGCAGATATAACCAAATACAATAAACTAAGTGGCTGAGGAACAACAGAGTCTGTCTTTCCTCAAGACATCAATCCTGTTCATGAGGACAACTAATCAGCTTCTCAAAGCCCCAGTTCCTATAACTTCACCACACTAGAAACAAGCTTCAGTTTAGGAATTTAAGAAGGTCAAGATTTCTCTTGTATGAGACTAATACAGGGTTCTTTTATCAGTACTAAGCAAAAGCAGGGCAGTTGGCATTCTGGTACATCTTTTCAATTCGCCTTGGGAAGTTTTGTCAAATACCGAAAATCAGCTGTGAATGCTAAGCTTAGAACTTCCAAACTGACCATTTCTCTTATGACAGTTCTGTTTTTCTAAAGGAATGATAAAATAGATGAAGAGACCATTTAAGCTTGACATCAACATGACATTTTTATGTAGGCTTCTACCTGCCTATGGGATGAACTGTGGTTTCCCAAATAATTAGAAGTCTGTGTTTTATTCAGTTTGGATCATAGACCCAGCAATCTCTCTCCCTCACCAAATCTCTCCATCATCAAATTCCAGGCTCCCAAAAAATGTTAATTAACCTATGCCCTGTAACAGTTCAGTCACAACCCCAAAACAAACAACAACAACAAAAATCTTCATGGCAATTTTTTTTTTCTATTCTGATGAATTGTCTCCCTGCAACACTAGTATTACTAGCGGGCCATCACAAGTTCCTCTGATTTAGCTTTTACCCAGACAGCAATTAAGGTTTATTAACTCTTTCAGTCTGGGCTTCAGGAACTTTCCACAAGGCCACTGCTGTTTTGTTGCCTTGGGCTTTATGCTTTTTAAAAGTCAGTAGTCATTTTCAAAGCAATCCAAAATAGCACATGCAACAGATCCCTGGAGCTTTGGAAATGTTAATACTCTTCCATCAGCAACGACCTTGCCATGGGGATGTGATTTAGGCACCAGGAGAAAAGGGCCCACTATCTTTATCACACTGGTTTATACCATCAACTTCAGAAATTGTAAGAGAGAATAATCAATAGTGTGTTAAGACCAATCTTAAAGAATGCCAAGACAAAGTACTCCTGCTGTGCAAAATGCTGAGTTGAAGGAGAATTTTGGAATGCAACAGAAGAGAAATTAGCTGTAGTGGTAAGGCAAAATGAATTGTGTGTGCCTCAAGATGGAATTTGTCATTGGGAATGACACTCAAGGGCTCTCTCTTTCTCTCTCTCTCTGTGCCTACCTCAGTAGAATTACATACTATGTATGATGAAAAGTGCTTAGTTTAAACAACAAGAAATCAAATAACAAAAACAGAAGGAATGCCAGAAGGAATATACATATGCAAGTTACAAATAAGCTCACATAGTCTTAAATTTTTTAAGTATCTATGAAAAGATTTATACTCTATATACAAATAGATCTAACAGCTTGATGCCATTGGCTCACACCTGTAATCCTAGCTATTTGGGAATCTGAGACCTGGAAGATCAAGATTTGAAGCCACTGCAGGCAGAAAATTTTATGAGACTCTTTCTCCAAAATAACCAGCTGAAAACAAGGCTAGAAGCAGTAAAGCTCCAGCCAAGCAAGCAAGCACAAAGAAAGATAAGAAAGAAGGAAAGAAGGAAGGAAGGAAGGAAGGGAGGGGAGGGAAGGGACAGGAAGGGAGGGAAGAGGAGGGGAGGGGAAGGGAAGGGAAGGGAAGGGAAGGGAAAGGAAGGGAAGGGAAGGGAAAGGAAGGGAAGAAGAACAAAGTTAGACTTCATCAAAATGTCCTGAAATGTTTTTCATAAATCTAGGAAAAGTATTACATCTTGATAACTGGCATGAAGTTTTCTGCCTTCTAGAAACAGCAGAGGAAGGACTCCCACACCACCCTGAGTGAAATCACTGTGAAAAAGAACTGGCAACTCAGTCCCTAAGTTCATTACAATAGAATGTTTGATTTCCCATGACAACCCTAATTGTGACAAGAACAGCTGTCAACAAGAAAATGAGAAGAAACTGTCATTATATTGATTTCATCCACATTTGCTTGTCCTATTTCCACACCATTGCTCAGGAGAGTGTTTTCAAAGAATTCTTCCAGTAGACATGTTTGTTATTCAAAGGGAAGTCCCTCAAGTTATTTGGCATTATATGTTACACATGAAATACATTTGTCTTGATAACACGAATCCCAAAGAGGTGTTTACTGAATGCCAAATTCAAGTATATGAATGTATCTGGCAAGACCATTTAATCCTAAAATCATCCTATAAAATACCTATTATAATACCTATTTTTAATACAGTTGATTCTCATTATATGCTGTAGTTACATCCAATAAAGTCCAGGCAGACACCAAATGAACAAATACTGAACCACTGTTTCTACTGGAAATATAGGTTTGGGCTCCCATGAGCCACTGGGTACATTACTACTGACAACCCATCAGTTCATAACATTGTTCTTTGTGTGTGTTGGTTTAAGACACTTTTTAAAAGATGCATGTACTGATAAACATTTATTTGATGACACTAGTTTAGACTGAAGTTTAGGTAAAAGGCATGTTTTGTTGGTTTGTTGTTTTTTTTTTTAGTAGACATATTTATTGCTTCTTATCCTTAAAAACACTAGACAGTTCTTTAGCCGTATGCTAGGGAACCATTTAAATGGTGAAACAATCAAGGAAAAGAACAAAAATTGTTGGGGCTGGGAAGGTGGCGCAGTGGTAGAGTGCTTGTCTTGCATGCATGAGGCCCTGGGTTCGATTCCTCAGCGCCAGAAGTGGCACTGTGGCTCAAGTGGTACAGCACTAGCCTTGAGCTGAAGAGCTGAGGGACAGCGCCCAGGCCCAGAGTTCAGGCCCCATGACTGGACCCCCCCCAAAAAAAGAACAAAAATTGTGACAGCTGTGGTCATAAACAATCACAAAAGTATATGTGTTTACAGAATGACAGCTGAAATAAGAACAGAGAGCATCACTTGGTTTAGCAGCTGCTTACAGACATGGATGTTGAACCATGCTAATGTTTCTCCCTATGTCTATAAAAGAAGTACTGAGCAATGGTGTGGGGACTATAGATACATTTGGGTGAAATTGGCACATTGACAAATACCAGATTCTAGACCAGATAAGGATTGGCATACATCAATGAGTCAGAGAACATGGAAGTCCCTGTCCCTGTGTGGGGAAATTCTTTCTGTCTCTTACAGGTTTGTATGTGTTTCAGTTTCAAAATGAGAGTTTACTGGCGGTCCAATTCCATGAAAAACATGGGAAGGGCTGTATGGCACACATCTGTGTCCTGGTTTTAAGAGGACATTCCAAAGTAACTTCTCTACTTCTCCAGGTATTCCAGGGATGTGGCCAGCCCAAACCAGCTCCTGCTCTTAGATCTGCCCGCTCAGCTCCTGAAAATTTTAACACACGTTTCAGGCCCTATAATCCTGAGGAGAGACCCACAACTGCTGCAGGCACAAGCTTGGACCGGCTGGTGAGTAACTCTCCCATATGAATGAACAGAGAACATACTCTCTGACCCTAGGCGCTCATGCTGCAAAGCCAGGTTAGGGGATTCTAAAGCGGTTGATTGTAGACGTTATCTCTTTCTTATATCCACTCTGGGTCTTCATTAGAATAGTGGTCAGTAATGGAATTTTTTTTTAGGTCATGAATTAGATTAGCTAAGAAATCTTATATCAATCCTCTGGTGCAATGGCCACATTTTCAACTTCATAATTCTTCTGAAATAATTTGAAAACTCAGTTACCAGTTCTTGCAGAGATGTAATTACATTAGCACATTTCTTATTCATCTGCTTCATTTCTTTTCTTAAAATGGTTATTTATTCAATGATGAAAGAATGTTACTTTATTATGACTTCTTACATGAGGTTTTCTATTTGAAGGTCTGCCAAGAAACCCTAAATCATTGGGCATTTTCTATATGTGTTTTAAAGGTTGAAAGCCTTAGAAATAGTCACTCTTTGAGCCGTTTAAATGTGCATCATGCACAGAATGCTATCATCAGAGCAATTTACTTGGAAATTACAACCATAAACATACTAAACACAAATTTTTGAATGTGTTTTAAAAGCCAGATTTGGCATAACAAAATTAAAAGCTCATCAATTCAAAGAAATACTGCCTGATAATATCCTATTCCATTTCTTCAGTTTATAGTACTATAAAGAATTTATATACCTGTAATTGTTAGTGCTGTTTACATTGCTTTGCCAATTATCTTGATGTAAAATTAACAGATAAAAAAACCTGAAGGTGCTAAAGCATGTGAACCATGTCTGATTCTGTCATATAAACCCAGGTCTTAAGAGTTGCTGGTTATGAAAATACTTTTATTAGTCACTGTTATAAATTACTTTATGATTTCAGTTAATATCCTTCTACAGTCTAAAACTCATAAGATTAAATTGGTTGTGTATGACCTCCATGTAAGTATACTTCAGCATTTTTCTCTATTAAAAAAAATCTAATGAACTTACAACATAAAGAGCTGTCCATTAAGTGTCAAAATAAAGGGCAACTGTAGTTGTTAACTGCTGAATTGTGTGATAACTGTGTTACCATTTGTTAGCAAGTAATCCTGCTTTCTGTGAAGGTTTGGGGAAAGGGTATCATATGTAATTGTTTCAACCTATTTTCCTGGCTTATTTCTATAGTCAACCATTAATTCAGGAAAAGTTTAAAATTAGTCATGATTTTTCTTTTAAATAGCCAATTCAATTCTGCCAAACAGCTAGCCTATGGAGTCAAAGAGTGATGTTTTTCTTTCGATTCTTTCATTTGGGTTCTCCTTCACAAATTGCTTTGTGTATCTTGCTAACTAGCTGCACAAATGATGAGTTTAGGTTTTATCCATTTCCCTGCATTTTACTTGGCTCTGAGTCATTAGAAGAGGTTAAGTCTTTCAAGAATTTTACAAAATCTAATTCAAGAACTGTAGTACATGTCAGGTGAATAAATTTTACAGACATGATGTGAAAAATAGTACCTGCAGCTAACAATACTGAATTATACACTTAAAAACCTCTGAAAAGGATATATCTCATTCACCTCAGGTTTGAAAGTCTGATAAATATGAAAATTGGAATTGGAGCATTTTTAAAGAGAAACTTAATTGGTGACCTTAAAGACGCCCTCAAATAACAGGATTTTGAAAGTATTAGCAGATAATCAACTGATTGAATATACCTTCAAAATATGTATGATTATTGTTTTTCTGAAAGTAATTAGTAATAGCTAATCATCAGGTCAGAAGTGAAACCCAAAGACCAGACACAGCCAAACATTATCACAAAACATTCTTTGGTAGCATGTAGTACTACTTCCTTGTTGTTGTGACTTCACAATAAGTAAGAATTGCACTTTGACTCCTTATTTTTATTGCATTACATTCTGATCCCTTCCCCACCTGTAAGAAATTAGAAATTTGTAGTTCACAGCCGGTGGACTGAGTCACCAGCTCCTCCAGAGATTAAATAAGTGTCAGGTAGTAGGTAAGCCCACACAAGTTACTTTATTCCTTAGCTCCTAAGAATGAGAAGTGGTTTCCACATCAAAAAGACCTACCCTAAGGTTATTCCTAAGAAACACAAGGTAGGCCCCGAGCTAATATCTCTCACCATTTGAGGCCTTGGTTCCCGCAAGGCTTTTGCCTTTTAAAATCTGGATGTTCATTGGAACAGAAGAAAGGAGGAGCCTGATGTCAGACATGATCGTCTTCAAGGAACAAAAAACTAGACCCACAGATGAGGCTGCTCTCCAATACAGCCCATTTCAACTTGTTTCCAAACAAGGCTCATGTTACCTGCTCCTGTTTTAGTTTTCCCCTGAAAAGATATTTCCTGAATATTTATAAGAAGCATGTGTCCCAGAAAAGAAGGATAACTGGAAAAGAGTTCCCTTCATTTCTTCGCTTAGGTAGAGAAAGCGCTTCAAAGGCCAGCATCAAACGAAATCTCTAACCATCCTACCTCTTCTGGGCCAAAATGAAAGTAACTTAACTAGACGGCTCTCAGAGTGTTACTTCTGAATGCCGCTTAAATCTGTACCTGTGGTGTTAACCTTGGGATGTGTTGGAATGTGTTCTGATGTCAGTTTTTGGAAAGCTGGATTGTGTGTGTGTGTGTGTGTGTGTGTGTGTGTGAGAGAGAGAGAGAGAGAGAGAGAGAGAGAGAGAGAGAAAGGGAGAGAGAGAGAACTGGTAATTATAGAGCTCAATCTCAAGTATATGTTAAAACTTACACAAAAGAGGCATTACATAAAAATGTATTAGTACTATTATTTAACCTCTTTGTTACATGTACAAGGAAGTTGTAAATTCTTTTATAGAGGTTGGAAATATTTTCATTGTTTTGTCAAAATTATATAAGCCTAAAACACAGTTGCTATAATCAGCAGGTTTCAAACCTACCGCCCTAAAGTATTTCAGTTCTCCAAGAATGAATGAATAGATTTGTATAAATTCAGCTGTTCGGGGAAAGCCAGCTCATGTGAAAATATCATAGCCCTTACTGCCAGCAGCCACCATTTATTGAAGGATACAAATGCCATCTACGAAGGCTGCTGCAAACACTGATCTTCCCATCCAGTGTATTTTTTGTTGCCTGGTCTCACATTAGCAGCTCTCTTGTACCCACTGACTATTCAGGATTTTCAGTTAAATAGGCCACTTTGCACTCACAAAGAGACTGGCTGGTTCTCTTCCCGTTTTCTTAAATTTATCCCCTGTGAATTCTCTTAAATAATCGGATGCAAAGCTATGATTTTTTTGAAGGAAGTTCCAATTCACCAGAAGTTATCGACTGCAAAAATAATTCAGCACAAAGTAGCTTGAGTTTTCAGATCTGAGCGTACAGAGGTGTTTCAAATTATCCACTCTAAAAGGCAATTAGTTGTACAGCTCGGAAAATTAGAGCTCAATGTGCTAGATGGCTCTGGAATGCACTGGGGCAGGGACTGTCTGTGACTTACTCCAGCTCTTTCATTAGAGCAAAAATGTACTCTAACTTGTATTCCTTAGAGGAACACATTTTATAAAGTAAATCCTTTTAAAAAGCCAGACTTGGAAGTTCCTTCATCAAGTGAGTGATGGCTTAGCCCAGTAAGTACTCAACCTTGTCTTGTGTATGCGAAGTTCTCAAATACTCATGCAGCCATTCTGAGGGATTGTGGGTAAGAGGAATGCCAACCTATAAAGCTAACCATTGTACCCATGATGTGTTATTGTGTATAGAATAATCTCTTTTTCTTTTTCCTTTAAATTTGTTTTCCTCTTGCTTCCCAGAGGACTGTGTGGAGGACAATGCAGCACAGTGTAAGCACTGGTCTTATTCTTCTCCCCATCCCATTTGTCTTTGTACAGCCACTCTGGACAGTTCCTCAGAAACTCCCCCTCTGTTCTCCCTTTCCATATTATCTGGAGTGAACTGAATACTGCTCAAGGCCAACTTGTTTAGAAGCTTCCTCTCTGCTTCATGTGTATGGTGAATGGCCATCATGGTATTCTTTCCCAACGGCAGTGTTTTCAATCTAATCTTTGTGTAAGACTTGCTTGTTGAGTCACTGATTTAAATTCCATCCCAATGTTCAGACCCATATGGAATGCATGAAAAACTAGCTCTTCTTTAATAGGATATATGGCCTTTTCTCTTGGGCTGAGCAAATAATTACCTTACTAATAATAAGAACAAATCAACACTGGCTTCTATGCATAAGCAGCTAATTTTTCCATTAGCTGGGACACAGAGAATTTAAGAGATTAAGAAATGGTTTGTGGTATATTAATCTCTCTCTTTCTCTCCCCCTCCCCATGTCCCTTTTATGCTCCCTTCCTACTTGTATTTACTGATTTGTTTTAGAATATTCTTGGAGGTAATTTTTTATTTGACAATGGGGTGCACTTGACTTTTTATACTAACCATAACTAGATGTTATCCAGTTTGGTTCTTTAAGTACCATTCCATCATGGGAATACTCCTAAATAGGAACTTATACCCTGTATCACATCATGACCCAGGAGACAAAGATGAGGAGCATACCCACACCCCTTACAGCACTTACGGCATCGTGGACCTCACTACTGAGCATAACACCATCCCAAATTCCTCACACTACAGATATACGACATTCTCTTGTTTCCAAGAGAAATTGTCCCCTATGTAGTGCTCTGATTCAATTCCTGCTGAGTCTAGAACAGATTAAATGAAGTTCAAGAAAAAAAAAAAGATTAAAAGGTAAATCTAGGATAGGAACATCCTAAAAATGACATGAGGGAGGAACAGAGAAGACAGAACACAAAGCAGCCTGGTGTTAAATAAGGAATGGGAAGATAAATGGTTGGACAAGTTAGGATTCTAAGTAATTATGCCAATCAAAGCTATAGCACCAAAGTATGGGTCTGCCCTTCCCATACTTTCTGGGCAGTCTTTGTTTTTGTTTTCAGCAGACAGACCAGCTTTATCTCCTTATTGGG